TGGAAGGCCATAGCCCCATAATGGCCCCGCACGCCCTGCGGAAATTGTCGGCGACGCGGCAACCAGAGAACCCCGGAGACCCGAGGGCCTAACTCGAACGTGCGATGACCGACGCCATGTGGCGACATCCGACGGCCTAACTCATCAGAATCCCACCCGCCCCGGATGGACCTTCCGTTGAATCGCCGTCATCAAAACAGACGGTTCGAACGGCCTTGAATGATCCGCGCATGCCATCTGCCTTACGAACGGGAGCGGTCCGCCCTCTCAACCAAATTGCACTCGTGCCACTGCCACAGGAGATCGGAGTTCTGACCTGGGACTCCACCCCCACTTTCCCAAAAATCCTTGGCACACCCCTTTTCGCACTTCCAGGCCCACATCATACTCCAATCAGGAAGTCGCGTCGGGCGTGAGGTTGGGCGTCACAGCATGCTACCGGCAGGGGCATACGGAAAACTCTCGTGCTGGTACTCAAAGGCTATCCGGTAGGGGCATACTGGAAATTCGGCACGGGTCCTGGTAGGGGCATTTTGAACAAATTTCAGGCCCAAATGACGCCAGGTTCTTTTGGGAAACTTGAATCGCTGTCAGAGGGGCAAACCACAAATAGACAAAAAATTTCAGGGGCATTTTGAAAAAAAATCCTTTTTTCTTGGGAAAATTGCTGAAATTCCCCTGAATGATGGGGTACGTCATCAGATACCCCTAAAGGCATGGGTATGACGAAATGCCCCTATGACAGCAGTGAAACTTTGCCAAATACCCCATTCACCAATTGGACCTTTCATCTTTTGCATATACCCCTACTGGGCCCTGGGCAACTTGTCTATAACCCCCCTGTATTTCTGGCCGTTGGACCCTTTAGATGGCAAAAGAAATGGACGGCCCCCTGCAGCCCAAGGCCAGGGCACATGGCGAAGTTGCCAATGAGCGGGGGGCAGATGCAGAAGGGGCCCAGGGCAGATGCAGAAGTTTGGGGCATTGGGGCATTTCGTCCTTCGGGACATCTGTTAAAATTGGGACGATACAGAGAAGATTAGCTTGGCCCCTGCGCCAGGATGGCACGCATAAGCCGAGAAGTTTGGGCATTTAAGCGTACCCCTATGTTTTAGGGGTATCTGACGAAATACCAAAACGTTTAGGGATATTTCAACAATTTTCCTTTTTTTCACTTATTGTTTTGTCTAGAATCCCTTCCTTTCTTTTTTTCTTGGGGCAGGAGTCCCAAAAATGAGTTATAATTGCAGTATGGGCCAAGATACAGTTTCGAATTGCAGTTCGTGCAATGTATACAACCCAGCTTTCTGGCCAGGTAGGGTGCCCGAACTGCAATTGCAAACTGTATCTTGCCCCATTATGATAGTGCAATTATAACTCCTTTCTGTGACTCTACTGAAGTTACCCCTTTTTTTCTGTGACTCTACTGAAAAAAAAAAAAATCCACTGAAAAAAAAAAAAAAAAAGTTACCCCTTTTTTCTTTTTTTTGTGTTCTCGAGATCCCAATCTGGCTGTAAACTGTGGCCCAGGGGGAAAAAGCACAGACCCTGGTGGGCCATAGCCCCCTTACATGCACTAGGGTAGGGACTTTGAGACTGTATCTTGCCCTACATATATGGGCACATGCATCCATGAAAGTGCAGCAGTGCAAAACTCGGGGGCTAATAATCATGATCATCATCAGAATAATAATTGCCATAACATCATTCACATAGTCACATGTGCATGAATGATGACCACTCACCACATGCGCAAAATGAGAATGAATCTTCAGCTAGAACATGGGAAGATACACCGCCAAAATTTTTGTCTTTTGTGCATCTGGTAAGTAGTGGTGCCCAGGCCCATGGTGATACTTTCTACTCAAACGGACTGGCGCCAATATTACTTTTTTAATTTTTCAATATATACTCGATTAATGTGTGTCATCCTTGCGCAGGGGCCATGCTAATCTTCTCTGTATCATTCCAATTTGAAGGGATGTCCCGAAGGACTAAATATATACTTGGGACTGACGTCAATAATTGCAATCAGTGCAAAAAAAAAAAAAAAGAAGGAAGCGTAGTGCGTGTGCACCGGCTTGAAGTTTGGGACATGAGTGAAATTTAATATAAATTTATTATTTGAAATGCCCTTCCGACTTCCATTTATTTGCGCTATGCACCTCCCATGGTCGACTTACCCTGTTGTGCCCCTGGGGCCTCTGAAGTTTCCTGCAGGCCCCTGTCAGTGAGGTGTGCAACTTTTCAGCATGCCCCTGTGGCCGTTGGTGGCACTTGCCGAGGGGAGCTACTGGGGTATACTGGAAATTGGGAACTGGTACTGGCAGCGGCATATTGGACATATTTCAGGCCCAAACTACACCAGGGGTTTTCCAAAAACTTCAATTGTTGCCAGAGGGGCACGACAGGGTAAGTCAGCCGTCAGAGGGGCATACCGCAAATAAATGGAAGTCGGAGGGGCATTTCTAAAAAATTTTCCCAGTACACTAGACTCCCAAAAAAGTTCAGCCGTCGTTCAAGAGTTGTCAGACTCTTGAAATGCCGGGTAGTGCAGTTGTGGCTGCACTTACGCTAAACTCGTGAACTCTTGAAGGTTAGGAAGCAGTGCGGGATACAGACTTGGGAAAAAAAAAAAAAAAAAAAAAAAAAAAAAAAAAAAAAAAAAAGCACTACGTGATGCAGCTGTGAAGGTTTGTCCGCCCGGACTCCAGGTAAACTCTCGAAAAACAATGGGGCGCGTAGGGTCCTATAGACCTCCCTTGAAAAAAATGAACTTGCAGGCTGGCACTCTTCAGACACTCACTCGGGAGTGACCTCTGACAGCACTTGAAAAAAAATATCAAGAGTGCCTTTCTTTAGTTAGTGCAGCGACGACTCACTCTCTACATTTTCGAGAGTGAGTCTGACAGCGTTTGAATAGGTTTTGGGCATCCCGTGTGGCAAGAGTTCATGCACCGCGATGCCTCACTCTTGAAACTTCAAGGTTCAAGCGTAGTGCAGCGAGGCCCATAACCAGACTTAGGGCCTCGCTCCACTACTCTAGACTCGCAAAAAAAATTGTGAGTGCTTCTAGAGCTGTCAGACCCCTAACACTCGAAAAAAGAAGCCCCGCTCCACTTACGCTGTATGACCACACTCTAGAAGCACTCCCGAATTTCGTGAGCGTTTTTCTTTTGTTTCTAGTGCACTACTA